CTTCTGGTGGTACTTGTGCCGCGGCCAACCTTCTAAGATGGTTCATTTCATTGCTTGGAGCACACCGTCCTGTTCCGTACTCTGCTGTATTGCTTTGAGACTGTGTTTTTGGAGACGGGTAAGTCTTGTACCATATTAATGGACTCTTATCTCCTGTTCTAGAGATCCATCTGTGCATGTGTTGAAGTCTCTTAGGAGCACTCAGCAAGGGTTTTTTCATTATGATCTCTAATGGTCTGATTGCACATCTACTCTGTCCAAAGGTGAACTGATGGAACTGTTCCAGTCCAAACAATACTGCTAGTAACTCCTTTTCTATCTGTGTGTATCTCCTTTTGGTTTCAAAAGCTACGGGCTGCTGGTTCTGCATTAGTACTTTTCCCAGACCACCTCCTGATGCATCAGACCGTAGTACTGGTTGCTCAGCTGTATTGTAGTACTTCAGTGTTTTTAAAATTCTTTTGAATGCCTCCTCTTGGGTCTGTGCCCATTCCCAGGCTGCATCATTGTGTGTTAGCAACCTGAATGGCTCACAAGCATTAGACAAGTGTGCACAAAATGTGGACAGATAGTTAACCATCCCAATAAAGCGCTGGACTCCTTTGATATCCTGTGGCCTGGGCATCTCCATAATGGTTCTCACCTTTTCCAGGTCTGGCTGTAGTCCTTCCAAAGACAGTGTGTGGGCCGGGTGCGAGCCGGGCCCTTTTTCGTGCTGCACGCAGGCTGTGGCCAGCAGCCCGGGCACGCGGGGTCGGAGAGAGGGGCGCGACAAGCTAGAATTAGGCACAGACTCGTAGCGGTAGTTTTAAAGATTGTTTACTTACACCAGAGATGGTCGTGGTGTAGGCTGGAAAACTTGCTTGAGTTGCAGTTACAGACAAAGACAACACGGACGGTCACATGGAGTTCGCTAGGCTCCACGGAAACAGAGCTCCGGATGCTCTGGGTGAGCGCGCCACCAAAATCGGACTCGTAGTTACGTCTTATAATTTTTATCGCTCGAAGACGGGAAGAGGTGAGCAATGGATCTAGTCGCCAAGCTCCTCTGAATCTCACACAGGGGTCTTTACTTCCCTGCCGTGTACCCAGAGTCCCCACGAGATGGATGTGGAGTCCTCTTTGGCTTGGGCGGAAACTGCTCAAGCCTCTTATACTGCTAACAGGCCAATCGTTAGCCGCCACGTGGGAATAATTTAGAACTAGCCAATAGCGGGACACAAATTTGCATGCGGGTGGCGGGAACTGTTTTGCACCATGCATTTCTCTTGCAACTTGAGCAATGCACCCTGCAAAGGAAGCTGCAAATAGGCGGGAAACTCGTGCCTGCACCAGAGTTTTCCTCCGCAGCAGAAAACTCCACCGTGCAATGAAGCTGCAACCTGGCGGGGATAATTCTGGTGCCAAAGTACACACAAAATCATACCTTTGGGTTATGACAGTCAGCAGATGTCCAATATTAGGGTACTTCTGTTCTTCTCAGCTGTATTTTGTCGGCATTCAGTTTAACGTTCCTCTCCCAACCTCTGTTAAGGAGTTGTTGCAGTTTGACATCATGGTCACAGATCACCTCTTCCCTTATCCTCAATCTTGATACCTGAAAAACCTTCCAGCTTCTGGCTCAGCTTCTGGAAAACTTCCGGAGTTGGGCTGATCCCCATGGGCATCCTTAACCAGCAATACCTGCCAAAGGGTGCACTAAAGGTTATCAGGTGGCTGGATGATTCATCTAGCTCCACATGCCAAAATCCATTCTTGACTTCACAAACTGTGAACACTTTTGCCCTAGACAGGTCAGGTAGTACATCCTCAATTGTTGGCAGTGGGTAGTGGCTTCTTTTGAGTGCCCTGTTAAGTGGTTTTGAATCGATTCAGATTCTTACTACTACTAGGCTGCTGATCCAGTCAGTGCTTTTTGCAACTGGTGTGATAATGCCTTTTTTCGACAGGTTTGTCAGTTCTTTCTTCAGTGGCTCCAGCAGAGCTAGCAGAATTCTGCATTTTGGTAGTCGTACTGGTTGCACCTGTGGATCTATTTCTAACTTAATTTTGCCTTCAAAGAGTCCAGTGCCCTGGAATATGTCTCCATATCTTAACAGAATGTTAGGTAGTGAACTTAATGACTGTTCTTGCTCTTCTGTGACCTGGAGGATGTTGTGGTATTGTAGTGTAATTAAATCTATGGCCTGTGCTGCCCAGCAGTGGATGGGTGTCTGCCCTGTCAATCACTATAAATTGCAGGAGGTACTGTTTCTTGTGGCATGGATTTCTTATAGTCAGCTGGCACTTTCCTAGTGGCCTCACAGTTGTTTTGTAATACATTAAAAGCACTTGGTGACATTTTTCCGTTCTGATACTGCCACTCAATAGATTCACAGGAAGGACATTGCAAGTGGCTCCACAATCCACCTGGAATCTTATAGGTCTTTGCTCTAGCATCATTGTTGCAAATATGGCTGAGTTGTTGCCCACTTTTTTTCTGTAACATGTATATCCTGTGAGTCTGTGAATCTGTCAGACTTACACTGAAAGCTTCCTCCTCATCTGTAGTTTCCTGATCCTTCATGTGGCCTTTTTTTTTTTCTTTCTATTTCGGTGGCTATGACACTGATCCCTGAAATGATTCTGTTTTCCACATTTTTTGCACTCTTTTCCATAGGCTGGGCATTTGTCCTCCTGCCTTTCTTGTAGCTTCCTGCAATACAAGCACTGAATCGTATTGTCAGCGTTTGCAGTTGGCCTGTCAGGTTCCTGCTTTCCAGAGTCCTTTAGGTTGAGCCTGTGAACCTGCTCTGTACATGTGGCTGTTGATATCATTTTGATCCTTTGTTTAGACCATTCTGCTACCCTTGCAATTTGGTGACATTTTTCCAGGGTTAGAGCTACCTTTCTTAGTGCTCTCTCCGTCCTGGCAGTCCCGTGTGCCACACAATCCTGTCCTAGATCAGGGAGTCTTTTATGTCTCCAAAGTTACATGAGGATGCCAGAGTTTTCAGTGCTGTGATATAGGCCTCTATTCCTTTCTCTTCCTCTTGGTTTCTCGTGAAAATGTGGTATTTGTCTACAGTCTAATTTTTCCTGGGGTCACAGTATGCATCAAACACTTCTGTTAACTGTTTTAGTGTGTCAGGGTTCCCTGACATCAGTGTCACTCTTACTTCATGGCCTTTTTCCCCCCCACTAGATAGTAAAACAGCTTTACCTTCATTTTCTTTTCTTTATCAGCCGTGGTTAACTCTGTATACAAACTGAATTCTTACTTCCATGTCTGTGCAAGGCTCTTTGTGTTGAAATCCAGCTGTCCTGGGGGCTTCAGTCCCTCCATGCTTCTTGCAATCTGTTTGAATCACTGCTGGGGCCCAGGTTTCTATCTTCTCTTGGGCTTCCTCACGGATTTTCTGCTGCCGCCTGTGCGGGCCGGGAGCGGTCCAAGGCTTTCGGGGGCGGGCTGTGGCCGGGAGCCCGCAACGGTAGGGCAGGTACTTTTGCACAACAGAATAGAATTAGGCACGGACTCGTAGTGGTTAATTAAAGATTGTTTTACTTGCACCGTAGGTGGTTGCGGTGCAGGCAGGAAAACTTTCTTGAGTTGCAGTTACAGACAAACACAAGTGGAGTTTGCTAGGCTCCACCAAAGACACACGCACGGAATTTGCTAGGCTCCGCAAAAACAAACATGACAGAGCTCTGGATACCCTTGACGAGCGCGCAAAAACCGTAGATACGTCTTAAGAAGAATTTAACAAACGAGACGGGAAGAGGTTGGTGGTTGATCAGGCCGCCGAACTCCTTTGAGACGCACACAAAGTTTCTGTTACTCTGCCGCGTGCTCAGAGTCCCCACGAGATGGTTGTGGAGTCCTCTACAAC